TGTGGAGTCTCCTACATTGGAGATATTCAAGGCCTGCCTGGACAAGTTCCTCTGTGATGTACTCTAGGTTACCCTGCTCTTGCAGGGAGGTTGGACTAGATGATCTTTTGAGGTCTCTTCCAACCCTTGGGGTTCTGTGATTCTGTGAAACAGCTGTTAAAATTGAAAATACTTCACAATATTTAAGAATTTAAGGTTAATATTTAAATTAATATTTAAATAGTTAATTTATCGATGGTTATTGGATATCTCTGAGTATAATTAAACTGACTGCCATAGCAAGGGCTCTTTTTTCCTACAGTTTAATTCAGCTCTGTAGACCTGTTGGCGTGTCTACTGGATTTTATCTACTTGCAGCTACTAACAAAAGTGTGTAGGGCTTGTGCCTGCCATCATAAGCATCAGATTTGAAAATTTTGCTTCCCACACTAAGTTTTGGGTCTGAGCCAAGTTCCATTGTTGTAGTGTTTTGTTCTTACAGCTGTGACTTTCACTTTAATGACACAAGTCTTTGCAAACTGAGCTATAAGTGCTGTTTCTATTACTGTTGTAATTCAGCTTTCAATGCTGTATGACCTTTGTACCTTTCAGTAATTATTCAGCAAGATTACTAGCATTGGCCACATAGAGCTTTTTTCTTCACGCACTCTCCAGTGTGAGCACCATATATTTGCTCTTTAATGAAGTTGCATGCTGAAGGCATTTCTGATTTCAGCACTGCTGCACTTGTCCACTCCAGTTTTATCAAAGTTCATTAATATGGCAGTCAAAAGGAAGTTGGGTTTAGATCCACAAATCCTGACTGTGCTGTGAGATGCCCAGTGCAGTGATGGGCATATAGCTGCCCTAGAAGTGGTAATACACAGTTTATATAGCAATTAACATAATGCAAATTAATTTATTGGTTATTCTCACCCCAGATCCAGTCACCTTAGAGTTACACATTGGACTTCTTCATTCTCCTGCATTGCTCACCACCTGTACTCAGGTCATTAAGCAAAACTAAACCCAGTTGGGTTTTCCTTGCCTGAGACAGGAATAACGCAAACTTTTCTTCCTAGGATATATTTTTATGTATTCTATGGGACCTTTAACCCCTTCCACAGTATGTAATAGTTCTGATTGGGCCGGCCAGCCCTGTTGGCATATCCTCAGGTGTTGGATGTTTTTAGAGCCTTTTACTAAATGTGTATCTGAATGTTTGAAAGTCGCACCACCCATTGCTTTAAGTGTAGTTTTTAACAGCCCATTCGATCTTCGCAGAGGCAGGTGAATGATAGGGTATGTGATATACCCACTCAATGCCATGCTCTTTAGCCCAAGTGTCTGTAAGGTTCTGGAAATGAGTCCCATTGGCTGATTTAGTTCTTTCTGGCGTGCCGTATCGCCACAAGACTTGTTTCTCAAGGCCCAGGATAGTGTTTGGCCAGTGGCATGTGGCACAGCGTATGTTTCCAGACATCCAGTGGTTGCTTCCACCATGGTAAGCACATGGCGCTCGCCTTGGCGGGTTGGTGGCAGTGTGATATAGTCAATCTGCCAGGCCTCCCCATATTTGTACTCCAGCCATCATACTCCATACCAGAGAGGCTTTAACAGCTTGGCTTGCTTAAGTGCAGCACATGTTTCACATTCATGAATAACCTGGACAGTAATGTCCATGGTCAGGTCCACCCCTTGACAACAAGCCTGTATGTTGCATTTCTGCCTTTATGGCCTGAAGTCCCATGGGCCCACCAGGCTAAAAATAATTCACCCTTATGTTGAGTTTGCCAGTCACAATGGGGTCCTTTTTCCACTGCTTCCCAGTCAGGCTGATTTCAGCCTCTAGTACAGTCAGCTGTTGGGATCCCCCTGTCACTCCAGAAATACAAATGGGTTCTGCCCATTGATGGCTTGATGGCACGTTATGGTTTAACCCTAGCTGGCAACTAGGAGATTCTCATGCACTTTCCCCTCCCTCTTTCTAGTTCAGCTGCATTGCCCATGACCAGGGTCAGAGTAGCTGCAGTGCCTGTTGCTTGGGGAGTAGCTTGTCACAGAGAGTGAAGTGATGACAGTTTGAGTAGCCATTGTGCTTTTCACACAAGTTTCAGTAATCACAGTGCTTGTCACAGGCTGGAGTAGCTGCAGTTAGTTGCTTAACCCCAAGCAAGATCTGGATGATGTTAGGCAATATACTGGTTCCTAGCAATAGGACCAATGTGGTTTTAAGGTTATTCAAAATATATTCAAAAACTTTTAAATTCACAAATACTATGGTAATTAGCTTGGAGGAGAAGGAGGGAGGATGTTGGAAGGAAGGAGGGAAGAGAGAAAGGAAGATGTAGAAAGATGTCTCCCCCATAGGCTGGCTTTTCAAGGAGAAAAGGGAAAAGTGTAGTTATTAATAGTTCCCACTAGATGACTCCTGAAGTGAAGAGGTCACAGCAATGCTGAGTTCACATACTAGATTATTCACGACCAATGGTGATAGCATATAAACCAGGTCTACAGAGAACAACAAAATTATAATCTTAGCCCAGGCCCCAAAGGTAATGATCATCTCCACAGAGAATACATACAGCAAGTAAGGTATCACATGAAGTACCTGTGAGAGATGTGCAGGAACTCTGAAAGTAAATAAATTGCATTGTGATGTTAATCTTAAACCAATACAATGAATGCTTATAACACATTTGGCTTAACATCAGGTCAGGTCTGTTATTATCTCAACTTTTTGTGCCCCATTTTGGGCACTAAACCGGACTGTCATGGTTCACCCTCAGCAATCACTGAAGTACCACACAGCTGCTCACTTACTTCCCACCCTTGAGAATTGGAAGGGTAAGAGTGAGAAAACTTATGGGTTGAGATAAAGGTAGCTTAATAAGTAAAGCAAAACCCATGTGCACAAGCAAAGCAAACAGGGAATTCGCTAGTTCCCATCAACAGGCAGCTGTTCAGCTGTGTCCAGGAAATCGGGGCTCCATTACACATAAGGGTTATGTGGGAAGACAAACACCATCACTCTGAAGGGTCCCCTCTTACACTTTTTTCCCAGCTTTATATGCTAAGCGTGAGGCCTTGTGATATGGAGTATCCCTTTGGTGAGCTGATGTCAGTTTTCCTTACTGTGTCACCTCCTAACTCCTACATCCCCAGCCTTCTTGCTAGTGAAGCGGTTTGAGAGCAGAGAAAGTCTTGACTCTTGTGTAAGCACTGCTTAGCAGCAACTAACAACATCAGTATGTTATCAACATAATCCTTATACTAAATCAAAAACAGAGCATTGTACCAGCTATTAAGAGCAAACTTAACTCAGTCAAAACCAGGAGACATTATTATGCTATATTTCAGCAAAAGAAAAATATATATGCGTATCCTTTTAAAACAGAGCAAGGTTGTAATGGTTTGTAACTTCCTTCAGGCATTCACTTCAGTTCTGGATTTGTTCCTGGTAAGAATCCTGTTTTGCTTTACAAAGCTAGGTGGTACAAACAAGAAATACAGTTTGATAATCAGTCAAATAATCAATAGCCGTCGTAGCAGTTATAGAGTCCTTTAAAGAAAATCCATTTGGGAATATTAGTTCTCAGTTCTGACTTGTTAGTGTGCAGGAGCAATAGAGTCATTCCCTTGTCAGGTCTCCAACAAATGTCTAGATATAAAAATGAACTGAATTTCGTTTTTTTTTAAAGCTTTTATAGCACATCACTATCTTCTTGTAACCAGAATAATAACACTATGGTGGGGATTTAAGGACTGGCCTGGTTGTTGGCTTTTTTCTCTCAAGTTGAGTGCACTTTCTTTTTACAGCTGAACCAAGCTGTTATCTTGTCCTCTTACAATAGCAGTGAGGAAAGATGCAAGACAATTCCTTTTGAAAGACTGTTATTCAGAAGTTTATCTTGTAATCTGCTCTTGGAATGGTGATAAGCCTCTGACTGCTTCTTCAGAAGCAGTGTCATGCATTGTTCCATTCTCCACATTGTGCTTCAGAAAAAGGTCTTTTTTTCTGCGGCAGATGCCTCATGGAGTTTGGTCTCCTGTCCATATGAGGGGCTTTTCATCCTCAATATGGACTTTTTTTGTGGATTCCAATAAAAGAGTATCTCATGCAACTTTGCATTGCTTTCAGTTAATAGTAATTTCTTCTCTGAATGCAAAGAAGTTCACAGTGTAATTTAATTGCTAAGAGATTTTCATTTGCATTGGGCTGAAATTCTTGCCAAGTGCAATCATTAAAATCTTGATTCATTGTATTTGTAATTCCCTTAGCAATATCACAGTAAAATTAACTACAGGTTATGCCTTTGATTTTTCTGGAGCAGGAAGACAGAAGTAGTATATTGTGGTGCTTCTTGTTTTGTTTTCTTTTGTTTTGTTTTTTCTAAGTTTGTTCTGTTCTTGTTGTGTTTTGTTGTTGACGGGGTTTTTTTAAATATAATTTTATTTTGGAATATATCTAGAGACTCTGGAAATTTGTATTATTTCCTTGAAAGTGTTTTTAGAAACTTAAATCACAATGAGCAGATCACTTGCAAGCATAGGTTGAAAACTGCGAACACTACTCATCTGGCTATGTATCTTCAAAATCTCTGTTTTACAGACTGATCACTAGTCTGTAAGTTGTGTTTCAAGGTTTCTGCTTATTTATTTGGTCATTTCCCCTATCATTGTGAAGATAATGATTTTGTTTTCATTTGGCATCATGGTGATAGGACCTCTTGGATTTTTGAGTAGTTTTTATTGTTTCTGTGTGTCCTTTCATAGTAGACTGTATTATTCTGTTTGTTTTTTTGGTGGGGTTTGTTTGGTTTTTTTTTTTTTTTAATTGCCACAGATCTAATTCTGGCAGTCTTTCCCCCCTTTCTTGTTCTTACTCCCACTATTATCTTTAATTACTATAGATAATTAGATACTTTTAGGTAAATTTACTGTGCTAAGGTTTTCTTTGCGGCAGCTGGATTTTGAGGAATTTTGGATGTTAACTTTTAGACTTTTCCTGTTTATTTCAGGTCTCTGGATGGCAGACTCTGAAAAGAAATGCTGTTTTAAGAGGTATGCCACATGTAAGCCAAAATATTCTGGACTAATTTATATATAAATGGTATGGCCATACTTCTGAGGAGTCCCTCCGCTGATGCTTTCTGTTAACAATAGTTTTCAGTGCTAAATTCTCTCTGAAAGGTGAAAGCTTGTACAGAGGTACTTGGGCTTGTCTTACTGGTAACAGTTTTAGTAGCGAGAGCTGTAATATACTGCTTAACCTTTTTGCTTGTTCACCTGACCAGAACACTTCCTTAGTGGATGTAGTGGCATCCACTTCATCACAGCATGAACAAAACCAGTTGGCTATCTGATGTGTCCATATCTCCTGTGGACCTCTCCTGACTGTGTGTGTTATTTTTGTTCGTTTGCCTGTTTTTCACTTGGGAATTTAGTCTAGATGCCTTTGTAATTGTCTTCACTCACTTCTTCCTAGTGTGATATAAGACTTAGCATACAGTGAGAGGCTGACACCATGCCAACAGTGTGGAATAAAATAGTTTGAACCAAAGTGAAGAAGTACTAATCTTTGTGCAAGTTATGATTTTTGCATATTAGCCGGATGGTTGGAACGTTTTGTGTGTTTGGATTTCATGTTCCAGCACTTGAGGTTACTGCCTCTTCTTTTCCTATTGTTGGTATGTTGTTTCTGAATATTTCATTGTTTCGCAGCTGTTAGGAAAGCTGTCTCTTCAAAATTGAATTTAGTTCTTCTATTATGTCTCCCATCCAATTCAGAAATCATAATTGGCAGATTTTAGGAAAGTAGGCTTTGTTTGTCCTTCAGAGAGAAAGACTGATGTAACCCAGTCTTTCAGGGCTCTTGGTTTTTGTTTTGTTTGGCTTTTTTTTTAAACAGGACCTCTTTATTCTCTTTTAGGCACTTTAAGAAGCTTTCCTATTTATCTAACACAGTTCAGTGTTGATTTGTTGTGTTCTGACCCCAAAATAATACCTGGTGTGAAGTACTAACAACTTGGGTTAAAAGTGGCTCTGCAGTTATTGTCTGAGATTCTGGTGCTGCTGGTTCTTAAGCTGTGCTCACCAAAGTCCTAAAGAAAATGAGGCTAAGAAGAAGGGAAGATATTATTGCTGTTTGCAAGACACCTGTGGACAGAAATCAAGAAGATAGTGCTACACTGTTCTTGGAGGTGCACAGTTGTAGGATGAGAGGGGCTGCAGCACAGGGCATTCCTTCGAGACAGTAGGAACACTTTTTGCCAATAAGGGTTGTCAGACCCTGGAACAGCTTACTTGGGTTGTGGAATATGCATTCTTTAAGGTTTTCAGAATGCAGCAGGAATAGGCTTACAGCAACTCAAATTATGTGGGCCTACTTTGAGTGCAAGGTTGGATTAGAGCTGTTTGGAGATTACTTCCAATTTACATTATGCTGAGAATCTATGTAACCTGCTAGACCTGCTGAGGGGGCAGTTTTATTGCATTTTACATTTCCTGTAAAAACAGGTAAGGCTCAAGCTGGTAGTGGTGGTGGGGGGGAGGTGTTTGGCTGTTTTTTTCTTGTTGGTTTGGGTTGAGTTTTGCTTTTAAAGAAGCATCTGTAGTTGAGAAGTGTTTTGTGATTACAGAACTAAGGAATTGGAGTAACTTCATCCTATTCCACCAGTATGGTTTTGGGGAAAGGATTGTGCTTTGACACTAGTATTCACTTATTGGCTAGGTTAAGAGTGAGAAACTTCAATTGTTTCTCAAATGTCATGGTTCAGTCAGTGGATTGAGAGTCTCAGGAAGTTGCCTGCAGTTCTTACAGTTTATTTTAAATTGTTTGCTGTAGTATGGACTATTCAAAGGAGAACTAATGATCTTCTGTGTCTTAACATATTTGCCTTGATTGGCTTTGGTGTTCTAGAAACTTAATTAAGGTATGGTATTTTTGTGATCTGTTAACTGCTGTAGAGGCTTAGTGGGAGCCTAAGGTTTGCAGTGTTCAACTGTGAAAAAGGGGCTGTTAAGAGTCATAAAATGATGTAAATATTCAGGTTACGGTCCTTCCTCTGAAGTTGCCTTCTTTTGCATAGGATAACTTCATTGCATGGTTCATTCATTGTTCTTACAATATTATGTATGCCCCATCTGAACTGCTTTTTTATTTGTTGCAGGGTTTTTTATGTGTATGGGGTGTTTTATTTTGTTTTGTTTGTTGTTGTTCTGTGTTTTTAGTTTTTTTGTTTGGTGGTGTTTTTTTTTTTCTCTCTAATGGCAGTGATTGTTTCTGTAGTGTCTATTTGCTGAAGTGTCATGCATTTGCTGGAAAAAAAAATAATTTGTGTTTCAGTTTTCACTGTAATATCTTTGGCTCTTCTGCCTTATTAGTGCTTGGATTCAGTCTGTGGTGATCCTGAACACCTTTCTCTGAATTCTTGCCTAGGCAAGTAACTACAGTTGTATTGATACTGCCTTTTAAAGCATTCTTGTACCTTAATTTCTCTTTTTCCTCTCATGAATTGCATTTTTCGTTGTGCTTTCTATTTAACTGTTGGTTTTAAGAAATCTCCTGAACTCTTCTTGGAGTGATACTCAGTAGCTCTTCCCCTGTTCTATTGACATGTACTTGCTTTATGCAGTAACTTCTTTAAGTGGAGACCTCATGCATGCAAGGGCTTAATGTGTGACTGGCTGTCAGTTGGTTAGAAATTGATTCGGAGAAAACTCCAGGAACAAACTTGCCAGCAGAGTTTCAAGTTGACAAGCAGGTATTCTTTATTGCGGCGCCGGGAGACACGGGGGATAGCTCCTCCTAACGTGTGTCCCCGAATTGCTATACAGGTCATCCTTATATGGTCACTGAGCATATTACATCATTTTCCAAAAGGTTTCCGGCATGCATACAAAAATATGGTGGTCTTTAAGGGTCGTTTACTTTTCCCAACAAGCTTAATTAACATTACAGACATAGCAATCATCCTGGCCTTCTACTTACCAGTTAGTTTAACTGCTCTCATCCTGGACATCTGCTAGTCCGGGGTACTCCCTAGTAGATGCTTACACCAGTTTAATGGGTTTATTAACAGCCCAAGCGTAGCAATCATCCTGTCCTTTTACTTATCAGTTAGTTTATCTGTGCCCACCCTGGAGATCTGCTATAAAATACAGTTTAGAAAAGTAATTCAGTTTCTTAGCATAGATTCTGACCTGTCTTGTGTGCTGCAAAACCAAGGAGTGCTTTTATTATTCTGTAATGGCTAATTAGTAGCTTAATTAAGAAACCTCAAATACCATAAAATAAAATTGGGCTTGTGTCATTTACTTCTTAGGAGTGAGAACTGTAAGTCTGTCTAGTCACTTTTGTATAGGACAATACAGATTTTGGTGGGTGTTGGATGCGGTTTGCGTGGCATATAAAGTACTTTGCCAACGTTGGTGTAGTTCAGATTAGTGTGGAATTTTGCGTTTTACTAATTCTTTTTGCTTAATACTACTTTATTAAACATGGGAGTATAGGGGGGAGGAGACATTTAAAGAGCAGACAACCCTGTTATGCTATTACTACGTGAAATTTGAGGAACATGTGTTGGTTGCCATTCGTATTTTGTATTGAAGTCCAATTTAAGCTACGTGAAAGCTAGTATTTGTGAACGTGGGATAGTGAAGTCACTTTAATGGAAAACAGTGTAATTTGTTGACTTCTGCAGCATGGGAACCAAATGTAGTATGTTGTAAGCTCGTTTGGCCTGCTCTGTTCATTAACTCAGATGCTGTCCAGTTGTGGTAAGGGCACAATTTTCAATATATTTTGAAAAATAAAATATAGCTATCTTTAGAAGGCAACTGTTTGTTAAGGCATGGGTATTGTGTGGTGGTTTCTCTAAAAGTAGTTGGTTACTAAAAAAAGTTAAATGAGGTGCTTAATGTTTAATTTTGGATTTAACTGCCTTTCAACGGTGGTTATGTCATCCTTTTCTCTGATCTAATTTGGATTTCTTAGTACAACAAACTGCAGCTCTGCCAATGAGACTATTGTAGCTTACAATGTGTTCTTTAATTAACTTGAGTTTAAACAAAATGGTATTTCGGAAGGTTTACTTCTCAGCTCTCTTACTAAGACACAGCTTCAAAATTATGCTTTAAATATACTGGCACAGAGCAAACACGAAAAAGCATGGTTAAACCTACTATGCCAAATCAGACCCAGTAATTTTTACCTTTCAATTATGAAAATGCTTTCAGTTCTCAAACAGCTTTGGGGTTTTTCTGTCTCCAAATTTTTGTGAATGTTTCCTCAACGCTAGGCTGAATGTGATGGCACTTAGATTGCTAAAATAGTAGGGTTTCACCTTAAATCCAAGTCCCGTGGTTGGTAAAAGGAACTCATTAACAACATTCTATAAAGACTATTTTCAATGCTGTTTAAATGTTTAACATGCAAAATAGTGTGGTTTTTACATTGTTTCACTTCTGGGAAGGTCTTTTAAAGTTAGTGCTATCATTGAGCATGCACACACATATACAGTATATGGGAGCATAAAGCTGTACAAACATCAGCAGGGTTAATTCTGGTTGATAATTTATTCCCAAATGACTTTGACCTGGTCACTACAGATTTGTTACTTCATCATATGTCTTTTCTGCAGACACCAAAGATGTTAACAAGAAAGATTAAGCTTTGGGACATTAATGCCCATATAACCTGTCGTCTGTGCAATGGGTACCTGATTGATGCTACTACAGTAACAGAATGCTTACATACCTGTAAGTAGAATTATAATTGAGTTATTCTTTTTTTTTTTACTTGATGTGTAACTTGTTTTAATGGTTTTTAGTTCAAATAAAAAAAGTCTACTGTGCACCAGCCAAAATAAGGTGTGCTTCACTAGACACTGCTTTTTTAACAAAGCAAATGAAGAGAACATTAAAGTTGTATTGCACAAACTTGAAGCCATATACAAACTTGCTGACGACAGTCCCACTGCCTGTGTTGTTGATGAAGATACTAAAACAGTACTGGTAACAGTATGGACCCTGAGAGGGTCACTGATCTCCATCTGGACATTGAGCCATTAAGTACTGCTGTCTGGATGTGACTATCCAGCCTATGGCTTATCAGCTGAATAGTCTATCAATCCATTTCTCTCCAATTTAGAGAGGAAGGACGTTATTGGAGACCATGTCAAAGGCCTTACAGAAGTCCAGAGAGATGACATCTTTGACTCTTCCCTTGTCCACTGATGTAATCACTCCACCTTAGAAGGCTACTAAGCTGATCAGGCAAGACTTGCCCTTGGTGAAACCATTGGCTGTCTTGAATCACCTCCCTGTCCTCCATGTACTTTAGCATGGTTTCTGGGAGGCTCTGTTCTATAATCTTCCTATAATGAATGACTGCTTTAGCAACTTCTGCAAAGAAATTTTAAAAATGCTATAGGTCTGTGCCAATGCAATTTTTTTTCTGGTGGAAATTTAACTGTTGTGTGCCCTGTGAAAGTGAGAATTAAAATGGCACCTGGATACCCACTTCTTAAAAGTTTTCTTTTCTTTTAAAAAGTATCCGATTTTGGAATATCTCTTTGTGTTGGGTTCATTGCAACTGTACACTTCTCTATGTGGCCATGCCTAAAGCAAATAGGCTTAGTATCTTAATGGCATACAGGCCCTTATGATAGCATCTGTGGAAGCTGAATAGCGTAATTAATATCATGGTAACCTGCTAAGAGTTTGATAAGCTACTAGAACCTTTTGTTTTAGTCAATTCCAGAGTGGGACTGTGTGTTGTATGCATTATTAGGAAGACTCTGGCTAGGTACAGATGCCTTATTTCTAGTGCATCATTTCCCTGCATCAAGAACATTAATGAAGGACACTGGAAACTATTCTGCATGATTTGACATCATGCTTGCATGATGTAAAAAATGACCTTTGTGTACATGCAGTAAGGTGTGTTTCTCTGACTGTATAAAAACTTTTTTCTGTTATCAATATTTTTTTTTAATTATGAATGACCTTGTTATTAGTCTGTAGAAGCTGCCTAGTGAAATATTTGGAGGAAAACAACACCTGTCCGACCTGTAGAATTGTTATACATCAGAGCCACCCGTTACAGTATATTGGGTAAGTATGAAAGCAGAAGTGCAACTATCTTCACTGTAGACTTTCAACCTCTTTAATGCAGCACAGCTTTTTCCTAAATTTTCTTACTTATCAGCATGTTAAACGTTAAAAAGGAATTTTGAAGGTGATTGAGGAAATACAGAATCAAGCTTTGCTATGAATTTGCAAGTCCTTGAGATCTGTTAGCTCTTGTCAGACTTAAAAGCAAGGAAAGTATGCACTTTACTGTTTAATATCTGTGTGGGTTATAATTGGATTTAGTAATCTCTCATTTTGTATTTCTGTCATAAAAGTTACATAAACAAAACATTTGTAGAAATCATACTTTTACAAAGTCTTCAAAATAATCTCTGTTGAGCACTGCTTTTCAGTGTCCTGACAGTAAGGAGAGAAAAAATTGTTGGTTTTATTGTTCAGCTGATTTTCAAAGGTCTATTTAGTACATAGGAAAAGGTAAGAACATGGCAGCAGCAAAAATATTAGATCAGTGGCTTAGATAGAATGGAAGAATCTTGTCCTTTGTTCTATTTTGATTCCTAGACAGACTGCTCTCACTTTCTGACCTAACATGAATGTGGTGTTGTTAATCTGTTCCCTTTTTAATTTCTTTTTAACTAAGTTTTTTTTTTTTTTTTGTTTGGTGGTGTTTTGTGTTTTTGGTGGTTGTTGTTGTTTGTTTTTTCCCTTTTGCTTTCAGAAAGACATTCCTTTTCCTTTAGTGCTTTCCTTTGAATTTACTAAACTATAGTAATTTCTGATGAAAATCCATTGTGACAGTGTGATTGCAATAGTTGTTGCTGCTGTTAGGTAGTGTTCTGTCTTAACTTTCTGTACAGAGTTTGTTTCGATTTGTGACTGTTTCAGTGTGCCCTTCTTAGTTCCATAACAACTTCTGAAGCAATGCTTATGGAAAATGAGTGTGATTTCTGTTCACTTTCACAGAAAACTGTTGATGTTCGATACATGCTTACACTGCTAAAGCTGATCCTGAATCGGGAGCCTGAAACTAGCTATGCCGTTTTTGCATTTGAAGAATAACAGTGTACACCGATAATATGTTGTACGATACACTGATAATACCCTATATGAGTGTATGCTTTGAAGGGACAAGCAGATGCTGATAGGATAGAACTAATAAATTACACTTACGATAGCATGTTTGTTCTAACTATGCTATGGTTCTATGTAAAGCTACAGGAATACACCAGTGCCTTGATTCAGAAGCCATTTTCTGTGCCAAAAGGGGCCAGGAAATAGCACCAAATAGAGAACTAGAACGGAATTTGTTAACTTGGTTTTTGTCCTTGAATACACTTCAAAGGAAGTGTTTTGTCTGAACTAGTTATAACATGCTAACAAGCCTATTCTGCGTATAGACACACACACATTTATAAAGAATTGACAGGTGGTTTGTGTCTTAAAACGTAGATTTACACTCCTGTTCATCTCCCTCTCTCTGGAAAATAGGTAAACAAAATGCGTCTTCTATCTCACGGTTTTGAATGCTGTTAAATTCTCACCTCTGACCTAATAGTGATAGCTGATTGTCCTGGTTTTGGCTGGTATAGAGGTAATTTTCTTCCTAGTAGTTGGGGCAGTGCTGTGTTTTGGCTTCAGTCTGAGAAGTGACCTATTTTAGACTAAAACAGAATTTTGTCTAGGTGAGCTGGGAATTAAAACCAGGCCTGCTGCTCTAGTTTTAGTAGAATTATTACCTTTCTTTTATTTGAGCCACATGACAGGCTTCTGAGCTATGTAATGTTGGTCACAATTACAATGTTGGTTTTTAGGGCAAAGTAAGATTTTTATTGTTGTGGTCTTTTTCTGTGAACTGTTGTGGTTTTGGAGAAGCTTTGTAAATATAACTGAGTAATCTAGAAATGTGAGAGATGAGTCTGTAGGGAAGAAACAGACTGTTCTGGATTCGTTTGTGATAAAATGAGTTTACTGCAAATTTGTCAAATGATTTTGAGGGTGTTAGTGTCATATTTACTTTATATCAGCAAGTATGTCATTTTCATCATCCTCCACATGTCCAGGACTATTCTTCCTCAAACTTCAATTGGGTTTCTGTCTTAGCCTGTACTTTTTCATAATTTGTTTCATGTTACTGTTCTCTCTTTTTTGACATAAATACTGACTTGAGAATATTAATTCTTCTAGGTGAATTTAGAGATTCTTACATCAATTTAGTACTGGAATTTTTTTTTAAGAGAAATGTTTTGAATCAAGATGATTGGCTTAAACTTTCAATTTTGTTTTTTTTTCTTGCTAGTCATGACAGAACAATGCAAGATATTGTTTACAAACTTGTGCCAGGCCTCCAAGAAGGTGAGTTGTAGTCTGACCTTTAGAAGTCATTTTGTACATACTTCGTCAACGCTTAAGAAAAGTTTAAGGTGATGAAAATGATGGGGGGAACACTGATGCAAAATCTGTTCCTTATTTGTGTCATTTCTGGTGATTATTTTCATACCTGTGCTAGCAGCAGTTGGGGTTGGTGGGATGAAAGACGGTATATCTTCTAAAAGTAGCATTAGATAAAGCATAATAATAGTTTAGCTTTTGAATGTTGGCACAATGTAGCTGTCATTTGTTCTTGTTAAACTGTGTACTTAAACCTGTTGTGCCAATTTTCTAGGATTCTCAGAGGTTGAATGTAATGCAGAACAGCTTTTAGTTTCAGTTTCTGCTACTGTGTGATTCCTTTTTTAGCAGATAATTTTCAGTTTATGTTTTCAAAATTGTTTCTGAGACTGGATCTGTTCAACTAAATAAGTCCTTTTAGTATCTGCTCAGTATTTTTTGTCTTAATGTATGTTACCACTTTAATTTAAATGCAGTATTTTAAGTCACTTGAGCTGCAAACCCAAAACATTCTCAAAGATCAGTAAGACTGAATAGAACATTGAAAAAATTTTCTCACACACTGAAAATTTTAACTATAAATAAAAATTGAGAAAGAAAGGTTTGACAGTGGGAGGGCTTCAAAATAAGGTGTAGTATTTTAAATACTCTCATTCTAATAGGAACATTGTAATAGTAGCTATACAGATGATTTTGTAGTATTCTAATTCCAAAAATATGATGAGGTGTGATGACGTGAGAAATAGAGGTAGAAGAACAGTAAATCCTGACAACACAACTACTTTTTGGGAAGCCTGTTTCACTTAAGAGGAAGGGATTTGGAATAACTTCATAAATATTGCATTAGAACTTTATTACAGGGATTAATATTTACAATTTTAAACAGCGGAAATGAAAAAACAAAGGGAGTTTTATCACAAACTGGGCATGGAAGTTCCAGGGGACATCAAAGGAGAGACATGTTCTACAAAACAGCACCTAGATGCCCATCGAAATGGTAAATGGTCCTTAATTTATTCTGTCTTGCACGGGTGACAGCTAGTAAATTGATGAACAGAGCTGTTGGAGGTAATGTGCCTAGTTGGTTTATTACAATTACAGTTGGTGTATAACACGAAAGAGTACAGTGAGTGTAGGATTGTTGCTTTGTCCCTTACTTGTGTACAGAATCTTTCTTTTCACCTGGTCGTAGCATATGAGTGGAGTAAGGAGATCTTCCATAATAGTGCCTACATGGGGACCCTCTGAAACTATCCAGCTTCTGGGCCGCTAATGGTTGGACTGAAGGTTGTGTATTTTATGTATGTATTTCTCTCTTTCACACTGTTGGCAGCTAGTGTTACCTAAGCAGACAAGCATCATTTGGGAAGTGCAAAGCTTGTTTATATTGCAATTCTGAACTGTGCTGTTTTAATCGTATCAGCATTACAAGCTGCTGCTGTTATCGCATATATCTGGTTTCTTATATAAGGTGAAACAAAACCAGATGAAAATTCAAACAAAGAAACTTCAGAGGAAAAACAGGAAGAAGATAATGACTACCACCGAAGTGACGAACAGGTGAGCTCATAAGGGCATGTTTTAGTTTTATCTTGTAGTTTAGCTTTAGTGCTTTGGTAGGCAAACAGAGAAGAAAAGTAACTGTTACAGGCTACTTTTTTGTCACCTGATGCAAACAAGATACAGTGTTGCCCAGTGCTTTTGTGCAAGCATGAGTTCCATCTCTGTGTTTTGTCAGGAATGGAGAGTATGTTAAAGACATTTGCATTAGCATTTGATAGTTCTGACTGCTTCTTCACCAGTTTCCAAAGTATTTATTTACTTTCAAAACAAATTCAGGTTATTTGGCCCACCTTGTGAAGGAATATATCCCAGCGTGCTTGTGATGCATTCAGCTGAATGCGTATTAATAATTATGAATAAAACCTTTTGCACTTTCACTAACTTAGTTTATTTTGTTTTAAACCTCTGATGTAAGGACAGTGTTATACCTGTACCATAAAAGTAGTATGAAAGCTGGTAAGTTCACCACTGGGTTGTCAATACAAAGCATGTTTGAAAGTTAGATCTCCTTTTCGAATAAGCAAGCATTCCCTTTTAATTTTTCCTGTTAACGTGTGCCCAAGGCAAATTAAACTTGGATGTTTTCTTTTAAATTGCAGTGTAAGAGAACTTTGAAAGTGATTGTCCCTAGTACTAAATCCTCTCAGTGGATAAGTAAATCATCACAAAGAGTTTAAACTAAGTAGTGAATAGCTGAATGAGAAGAGGTGAGAACTGAAACATAGAAATCAGAGATACCTTTTGGAGGGATAACGTTTAGAATTTTGAAAATTTCTCACATAATTTGTATCCATTCTTTTTAAACTTTAAGTTCTTTTTTAAACATCTGTTAAAATTGTTTTAAACTGAATTTAGCAATTGCATTACAAGCAAGAAATCACGTTAGAAGCAATCATTAAAAATAGGCAGCGGTATTCTTACTGCGTATCTTACTCTAGCTTTTGATATAGGGTCCTCTTGAGCTATTGGCAGCCAGTGAATTTGTATCGGAGCAGTCTTGTTCCAACATCAAAAATTCTTTCTTGAACTTTTTTGTCTAGATCTGTTTTGGTTGTAGTTTGGTTTTATCACTAAGCTGACCAGATGTTAGGTGATGTTGTGTTTTGTTTTGTTTTTTTTTTATGGGCATTTCAGTTTAAGAAATACTAGTACTGTACTTTTTCACTTTGTTGTCTTAATGAAAACTGCATATGGAATACATAGAGGGGACTGCAGTAAATTGTTCCAGCCAACCCTGTTTGCTTTTTCCTGAAGGTAAGCATCTGCTTGGAATGCAATAGCAGCAAATTGCGTGGACTGAAACGAAAATGGATTCGTTGCTCAGCACAAGCAACTGTCTTGCATCTAAAGAAGTTCATTGCCAAAAAACTAAACCTTTCTTCTTTCAATGAGGTAATATTTTCTTTTTTTAAAGTTATTTTGCAGATATGAAAGCTTTGTGAAAAGTGCGGGGTTGTTCTTTTAGTCTGATTCTATTTTCAGAAAACAGAAGTATACACTATTTCTTTAATTATATGTTGTATATCTGTTTTCATATCCTTTCTTGAAGCTATACAGGACTTGCCCCTTAGTTTGCTGTGCACCTTTTCATGTCTATATATAAATAGTTGAGCGAAAAGTCTTGGCTCTGTGTTTCCATGTGTGTTGAAATGCACTCTGGCAAGGTGCTTTGTTTGACACTGTGTGGTGGGGTGTACCCTAGCCCTTCAGAGATTCCACACACAGTGCAGGGGACACGCAGTAGCAAACACTTGTACTGCTGGAGCTCAGAGTAAGAGAAAGCACCACAGGTATTTGTTCATGCTTTCAGTGAAGCTCAGCCTGAAGTTTCTGCTTACCGTGACTAGAGTGTTATCAGGTACCTACTTTTCCCTTCCTCTGTAGGGAATACTTCGAATCATGGGAAGAATTTATGGTGAAAGGTACAGAAAGAAAGGCAATTCTTTGCACTTCTAGTTCAGATTCAAAACTACCAGTGGTGAAACATATGAATGCAGCCTCTGTTGACTGCTTTGCTGGTTCTTGGTCACAGTCTTTAGACATCTCAGGTGACTCTGAGCTTGACATCTCCCAACCCCACGTTATGTCACTGATCCACTGAATTTCAGTAAGACTTTTCAGTCAGATCGTCTGCTTTCAAGTCCATTGTTAACACCTTTCTGCTCAAGCTTCTCCAGCAGTCAGTTTGCATCTGTATCACTCTTCCTTCTAGCTTCTGTGTGCTTCAAACCAACGCACTCTTTTATGGTCAGAGTATGTCCCCAAGCTCTGCTAGCCTTCTTGAACAAAACTGTATTTCCTGTGTTGTCCTCAGCTGGCTTAGAAGTGGTTGACTGCTGGCTGTAGCACAGCATCAACATAGCCACCATCACTGTTCAAAAGGGAGTATTTGTGTGTTTAAGCTCTCCATTCCACTGTGTCAGTCTGTGATATAACAACTTGCCTGGCTTTTATTAAAGGAAGAAGTTTCAGAACTACTGTTTATTCCTTTGCTATCCCTCCCTGCCTTCTTAAAGAGTACATAAATTGTGGTGTAATCTGTGTACAATTACCAAGTAACAGGTGCATAGTAGAAGGATCTAAGCTTGTGGGCATATTGACTATTACAGGTTTGAGCTATTGCCAGTTAGATGAGCCATGTATGTGAAATGCATGCCCAGTAAGGCCTTTTTCTGTTGTGTGGTAAAGCGGTATTGATACAAGTCACCTTGGTGAAGCTTAGTGTTTTCATGCATGTTCCCTGTTTTAGTGCATGTTCAACTGATTAGGACTCATATGATTCTCATGTTTTTGTGTTTATATCCTCACTGCTTCTAATATCAAGAGCTTTCAGCACTGAGATAGGAAAGTGAAAAAATGGGTATTGAGTATCTGCAAAGGACCCATAAATATAGTGTATGAGGGAGGTGGCAGATAGTTTTGTTTTTTTTTTTTTAAATGCATCCTTGTAGCAGAAAACCACCTGGCTGATGTCAGGTAAAGAATTTTCATCATATGTTAGAGCTGTCTTTGAGATCTGTGAATTCTGTTTCTTTGATCATTTATGGGGCCTTTTTAAAAGTGAAGCTTTCAGGAAAGGGCATTAGTAGTATTGCTTGGAAAGCTAAACCAGTTAAGTCAGTCAAGTCCAGTCCATGCAATATTTCCTAGGTAGGCACAAGCATAGTGTTTTGGCACTCTGTGATAAGAAAAGACATGCTTTTTTCTCTCCTGGTACTCTTTTTTGTCTACAGAGCAGCTGCAAGATGACCGCTTCCAGTGTCTTTGAAGAAAAATAAATCTTGACAAACATTTGTAGTATTATCTGAAATATGTTGCTCCATGTACATGTCCCAGTGAATTAATTGTTGCCTTTGTTTTGTCAGCTGGACATATTATGCAATGAAGAGATTCTTGGCAAGGACCACACACTCAAGTTTGTAGTTGTTACTAGATGGAGATTTAAGGTATGACACAGTGGTTCCTAGTAAATCATGAAGTGGCCAAATAAAATGTTTCTAAAACAAGCATCACTTGGAACTATTTTGGAGTAACTGCAGACTTGATCAAAAGATTCTTCAATAAGTATCTTGTACAGCATACCTGAACACCAAGTATTGATTTTCATCTACAAGAAAATGAAGGAAAGAGGAATTAAGTATTAATTGCAAGGGAAAAGGGAACACTGCCTCAACTGTCAGAATTGTTACCAAGTCTGGCAAAGGAAGTGGAAGCCAGAAGAAAGTATTATTTTTACCTATTTTAGGTAAAACTGGTTTTAATCCACATAGGTGGGGAAATCAACTGTGATGCAGAAAAGGCAGCAAATTTCAGCACAGCTGTCTTCTGTACCTCAAGAAATCTCTTTCTCTTCTAATGCAGAGGCAGTAACTGCAGTTCTTGTCTGCCTTAGTTAAGGAAACTTCTAGTAGCATTTAGTAGGCATAAACAAGGCCGGTTAAAAATGTACATCTTTGACTTGCTTAATGTGGTTTCTTTAAACAGCTTCCTTCAGACTGAATAGTAAACAGTGGAGCATTCATTCTGAGTATAAGCTATCACATTAATAATTACAGCTCAAGTAAAATGAGTGTAAGAATGAATTGCAAAATTGAACACTTAGGAGGCAAGTCACACAGAGTCAGTATATGTGTATTTGGAGATGTTTGAACTAAGATGTAGTATTCATAAAGGACAAGCGACACAGTCAAAGTTTACAGTGTACACTGAGGTAGAACCACTTGATGGCTTTTGATGTGTATCTAGAAGAGGTGCAGGTGGGAGCAGGGAATTGTTTTTTTGTCTTGGCATAGAAGAATCAAATTGTGCATCTCTGCAAGTTTGCAAGTTTGCCTTGATCATGGAAATCTACACAACTGTGTGTCAGTTGCCTTCTCAAGTGAAAGAGGTGGGGGATGTAAAATGTAACTGGAGGGTGGGAGGTCTGGAACAGACAAGAGGAAGCAGTTCCTGACATGAGACACAGAGCTCCTTCATACAGGATGTTGTGGATGGTAAAAGTTTTACCTATTTGTAAAAAAGCAGTGAATACACTCACAGAAGAGGAATCATGTGAGAGCTGTGTGATGTGAAGTACCACGTGCTCATACACTGTTTTCTAGACATCTGCATTTCTCCCTTAATGGGAGTGGGTTTTATGAGTTAAACAGATCAGTTCCTGAGACAGAAAAGCAAAAGGATTCTTCATCTCTTCTTTGAGCTTCACTGATGAGATTGTATCTTGTATTTGAATTTTTGACAGGGCAGATAGCTACTCTGATCATTCATTTAAGCTTTACTTTATGAAACAGAAGTTTTGCCTACTGAACAGGTTATTTCCGGTTTTGTTTCTGAACTTATCTGATATTTCTGTCTTGCAGAAAGCACCATTACTGCTACACTACAGACCCAAAATGGACTTGCTGTAAGAGAACTTTACTGTCCTTCTGGACAGAGTTTTTTGCAGAGACTATCATCTGGCACCTTCTTAGTGCATCACTAATCAAATGACACAAACCAGCCGAATAAATTTAGAAGACTGTAGGGCTTTCATAGCGGACTGTCCTTCTGAATATTTCTTCTAGGGATGTACTACCAAGAATTCTGAACAGAAAATATTTATACTTTTTTTTGTACAAAAGAAGTAAGTCGCAACTCAACAAGACACTACCAGCACTAAGTTTACAGATACTGAAAGCACTTCACAGTTCTATGTAGCTCAGCCTGATTTATCTCTTACAGTTACACAGAAGTAAGTTAGAATGTTGTGGAGTGATTTAAAAATGTTGCTTTTGACACCAGGTTGCATTTAGTTACTTTTCACATTCTGAATCTTTAAAAACTATATTTTTGCAAAGTGTTATTGTCTTATATAGTATGCCTGATTGCATTGGCTTTATTCAAGTTATCATGTAGACCATTGAAAATACCTAATATGGTGATAATTTATTATGCTGCATTGAAAACTTCTAAAAATCTGGGAAACCAATAAGTTTGTCATTTTTCCCAGTTACTGCTCTCCCTTGCTTTGTGTTTTAGTAAAGTTTTGATACTCCCTGATGCATGTTGATTTGGTAAGATTAATAGAAATTATTGCAGTTGATTTTAATGTGCCCTGATATTTTGCTGTGGCATAAATTGCACCACATAATGACGAATACTCAAAAGTGCTAGATTTGTGAACTTTAAAAAAACAACCCAAAACATTTCTTATGAGTTGTGGCTTGCAGAAATCAGTTTTTAATTTAGAGAGAATTTGCTCTCACTAGCTATTGAAGCACTGTCTCTTGGGCTACTTTGGGTGATATCACAGTTTTCATTTCATTTATTAAGAATTCCATAGATCATTATGAGCAGGTTTATATTTCCTTTACCTGTTTTCTTATGAAACCATGGTATTTTTTTAGCGCAATTCCTAACTGTTAGGGGGTGGTCAGACAAGATTATGTTAGCACCTTCTGGCCTTAACTGGTAATTTTGTTTGCATCAGCACTAGTGGATGCAAGGTAATACACATGCATGCATGTATGCATACATCTGTACACACATTTAACTACGTATGTTATAGAATGCACCCTCAATAGCATTTAGCAGGGTTCACGGCACTTTTTGCAAGGCTTTTTGAGGTAGTTGGCTTTTCAGAAAAAGTGGCTGAAAGTGATTTCTGCAAGCTGCATACATTATGATACAGCATATATAGTAGGATAGAGTGTTTGTCTGGCATAAGTGTCAAGTCACTGAAAACAGGCTATGCCATGTTATTGACAGCTGGAAATCATTAACTTTCTAATTTTTGGAAGAGTTTTCCAGTGAACTGAAAATGCTTGTTGCTATTCCTATTATTAAAGCCTGTATTTTTTTTTTTTAATATAAATTGTCTTTGGATAAGAAAACAAGTTTGTCTGTAACTGTCCTGCTTCCTCTAGCTGTGCTCCTTCCCCTCTTCTGCTAGAAAGTGTTACTTGCTACTTGATAACAGGAGTTTGATACTGCAAAATGTTTATCCAAGCATTTTAAATCCTCTTTCTTTTCGTGAGTTTTCAAAGCACCACATTCCTCAGCATGTGTCCCAAAGACTCTGTCTGTCTTTGGAGTCTTCAGTCCTCTGCTGCTGCAGAAGGGATGTTCCAACTTGTGTTTATGTTTGAAAACAGGGTTCCTCATTTTTAATTACAGTCACAGATGTCAACGGGAAGGAAATCAAAAAGTGTGTGAGCAGAGAATGAAAGGGATTTTACTGAACTGTGGAGATTGAAGAGAGAACTACACAAAGGCCAAAAAGTGCTGCTGTCCTTGCACATGAGGATATGGGGATAGCTGCATTTGAACTTGGGTTATGCAGAATTCTACAGCTGGGTTTGGCTGGGTTGGGAGGGCAGGTGGGGAGTGGTGTACATCCATATGAGCAATGGGATCCAGCTTCGCTCTGGTTTTGTCTTACTGTTTGTGAACTCAAATATATGTGTTTTGGATTTTTTTTTTTCCTGTCTTTAACATTACTGGAACTGGCAGAAAAGAACAAATGAGATAATGAGTCTACCATTTTTTCTAATCTTTTCACGAAACAGTGAATGCAGGTGGCATGGATGTGTACACAAACTGTCATTCTAGGCCTTCTGGAGGTGTTTCCGTGATTGTTAACTGTCCTACTGTAAATAAGGACTTTCTCTAGCCACTGAGGCACTGAGAATATAAACAGGGCTGTAAGTGTTCTCCCTCTGTGCACGCTGAGTATACAGACACTGGCTGTACCTGATGTAGACGTGAAATTAGAGCATTCTGTTTAACTGACTTAATCAGGATACATATATACATAAAAGCAAATATATATATATTTGTGTGAGATCTGCCTATCTCAGAGTCTATATACTGCAGAAGCTTTGTACAATGATATTGACGCGGTGCTTTTGAAGCACATTGGGATTTTAGTACTTTCCTATACTTAAGTTGTGCAGCTGAGAAATCAATAACAAACATGTAAATTCACAAGTCTTTCAAATCTCTCTCTTGCTGTAACAGTCTACAGTATAGAAGATATATTTGTAAGTTTATAACCACCTTCAGAATCACTTGAATTTTTATGGTGCTATCAATATATTGAAAACTCTGCTTATACCTGTATGGATACATACATTCAAGCCAGTATTCATAGAATCATAGAACGGTTTGGGTTGGAAGAGACCTTAAAGATCATCCAGTTCCAACCCCCCTGCCTGCACCTGTTGTTTTTTTTTTTACTCATAATTGTGTGTTACTGCTTTTGCAATGTGCTTAATCTGATAAAACCTCACAAGTAAAAAGAAGAAAAATAAAAATGACAAACAAATAAAAAGCCACCCAGTTATTTTTCTAAATCACATGTCACAATGTATTTCCTGCAGAAACCGTGACTGTGTCTGGACTATATATTTATTTCCTTTAGCCTTACTAAAAGACTACAGTGCAATTAAATGGAGGTCAGAGGGAGGTGTCCTAGGGTCACAGCCTTTTTTCACTTCTGTGAAGCCTAAGAGACAATTAGTTTATATCAAGATTAGATTGGGTAAAACAAGTCTGATACTTTTCAGAGTTAAGACTCAGCATAGGTATCTCTTTGTCCTCGTGAGATCAAGTTAGTTTATTTTGGCTTTCGTGAAGATGCCATTATGGTGAATTAGTTATCACAATTGCTTCTGCTGGTAAATAATTGCAGTAAAGAAGTATCTTATTGCATTATCCTCAGCAGCAATTGAGACTGATAAAATCACCCAGGCTCAGAGTCTCATTAAATATAGTTTCATTAAAAATAGATAATTCAGACAGAATATATAGTATTGAATTTAAATAAGATTGGGGGTTTTAAATGTTAACTTTATAAAATTATTTATTCTATTTTAAGCCTTCTGTCTTATTTTACCATCCAAGTATTTTTCTTTCAGTGATCCAGCTTTATTTACGGGCATATAAAATGAAATTGTAAGATGTTTTTACAAGCTTCTTCCTTTTACATTGAGTTTGAGTAGCTTTTGTTTGTTTTTGTTCTGTATGGATAAAAAGCATTACTTATGCTTTTGTGCAATAGGTTTGAAACATGCATTTATTAGACATATGTTTAAATTGTAAATGTAGCATCTACTTACCGTTAAAAGGAATGTAGATGGCTTTTCTGAGTTGTTCAAATGGGGTCTTTTATTTGGAGCTATGATTTGGGGGGTTGTTTCATGATTTGTAGTTTTGGGCTTGTTTGCTTTTTAGTTTTATTTTTTTATTTTTAATTTTCAGAGTGAAGTGTGGGGTTTAAATTTGTGTAAGTACAAGAACTGTCTGTCAGCAATATTTTAAAATAAATGATCTTGCAAGAAACCTTAATGTGAATTGTGGAAGCAATCAGCAAGACTTGCAGCCTATCTGAAGATGCTTTGTGCCATTGTTATGTCTGGTATATTTGTGTACCATCAAACCTAGGAATATTTGTTTTTATTGGTTGTGCAATAGTATACACAACACTCACCTCTGGGGATATTGGACCATAAGAAATATCAGACCACAGCTATAATGGTGCTATTTTTTCCCAATAGGCTATGAGCCTTTAAAAGATTATCTGGCTCTTATTGTCTTTATAACATAGTCGTAGGAGATTGATAGAGGTTTTTTTCTACTGGATGATTAATAAAATTGTACAACTAGCCTGTTTTACAGCATTCAGCATCTTACCATTGAGCTAGAGATAATAGGAAAAAGCCAACCAATCTGTACATCAGCAAGATAAATCTTACTAAGTACTTAAAATATATTTTGTACAGAAGCCTTGACTGTACAGAGAAATCAAGTTTCTGTATTTCCTCAGGTAATCAGTTTGGATGTTTCAATGGAAATGTTGATGCCACCTACGCTTCAGTTAAGTCTACCTAGGGCAGGGCAAAAGACTGTCCCATACACTAGAATCCCTACATAAGCTATAATTAACTGTAACTAAGTTTTTTGAGATCTGTTGTTGAAGTAAGAAGTTGCAATGGGAAAAACATGAAGAAACATGGAACAGAGCTTCAATCTCTGCTTTAATCAAAACTTGCCAGTGACACAGATGCTTTCTAGGAACTTGCGTCTTGTTGCAAGCCAACAGTAACGTTTTGCTATGGACTTCCAGTTTCATCTGTACACAGATTAAAGCTCTGGTCCTGCTATTTGAGCCATGCTTGATCATTCTTAGGGCTTCTTGGAAATCTTTTGAAGCCAGAATGACCTGAGAAGACTGTAGTGGTAGGATAGGAACTAAACATCCAGTTCTATGGAAACTTACATTGGCAACTTTATGAATAGCTTCAACAGTCCACAGAAAGCAGTGGGGTCATTTGTGTGAACGGTTAGGCTGAAGGAAGGATTTTTGAGTACTGATGTTCCACTTTTATTTTTTTTAGTCTGGAACTCTAAAGCATTGGTTTAGTGGAATCTTACATTCAAGTGATTTACCTGGACAAAAGGAGAGTTTGTTCTTTTTTTCCTGCAACAAGATTTTATGGTTAAGGGACAATAAGCCAGTGCAACCACTAAGCCTTTATCCTCATATGTGGCATAATAAAGATTCTGGAACTGTCACAGTGTAAAACCATATTTTTGGCTTAGCTTCATTTGAAAGTTTACAATTTTTTATGCTTTGTGTTGCTGTGTAATTTTTGTACTATTGGTGGCTAGTTTTGTCTGAATAGCCGTTGGGGATTATTGCTTAATGTTTTGATTTTATGATAGTGAAGCTTGTATCCAGTGTTTTGCCAATTAATATTATATGCTTGTTAATAAAAGCAGAGAAACTAACTGAAATACTGTCAGGCTGGAAGTTATTGTCCCATTTTTCCCCAAGAACATAAGGAACCTAGCCATCATAATACCATAGTGTTGAATAAAGCATGACGGAAACAATGGTGGTGAGCCATTGTATTATGATCGGCCTTTTACTCAAGACACAAGCATGCCCAAAGCATTACTCCACTACATGGAATGGCCATATGTCTGTGACAAATGTGTGACAAGTAACTGCTGGTGAGGAAATGAAACGGCTTCAGCTAGAAAAAGGATAACACAGCTGTCCTGATGTCTTTATGTATGGATGGAAAGGTACTTACCCAACCTGTATGTATTGAACACTTCAATATTACGCTTACTTGGCAGTGTTGATACACAGGGGCTGACTGCAGCATAGCAGAACACATTCACTTAGATACGTGACAAATAGAAAAGCATATCCACACACATTCCACTTTTACTTAACTTTAGTTTGATGTGCTGCTAGGGGGGAAAAAAGGTCTCTTACTTAGAGAAGGCTTTGACTAATGAACTGCATATATTTTGCCTTTTAAAAAAATCGGTCTGTTGTGGTATTGCAAACATTGGTGCTTGCCCTCTTCATAACTTCAAGACCTTTTTTCCTTCAAAATCCTTGAGACTTACTGTACTAGGTTCAGCTGTAATAGCTATTTTTCTCCTTCCTAGTAGGTGATGCAGGTCTGTGTTTTGGCTTTAGTCTGGGAACAGTGCTGATAACACACTGATGTTTTAGTTGTTGCTAAGTAATATTTACTCCAGTCAAGGACTTTTCAGTCTCTCGTGTTCTGCTAGTGAGGAGGGGCACTGGAAGCTGGGAGGGAGCAGAGACATGGGACACCTGACCCAAACTGGCCAAAGGGATATTCCATACTACGTCATGCGCAGCATATAAACTGAGGGACATCATCCAGAAGGCCCAGATCACTGCTGTGGTCTGTCTGGGCATTGGTTGGTGGGTGCTGAGCAATTGTATTGTGCATCACTTGGGTTTATTTTTTTTTTCCTCTATTTTTGGTTTTGTATTTTCTCCCTGTTATTTCTCTTATCATTAGTAATAGTTTCATATTATACCTTAGTTACTGGACTGTTCTTATCTCAACCCATGGGGTTTACATTCTTTTGATTTTCCACCCTGGAGATTTTCCACCCTTGATTTTTGCTGGAGGGATGGGGGAAGGAAACACAGGGAGTAGTGAGTGAGTGGCTTCTGAGTTACCAGCTGGCTGAAACCATTGCACTTATTTTAATATCTGAACAGAGCAAAGGTATGGGGGAATTTTTAGATAAAATTAATTGAAATGCCTAGTTGAGATAATACTGCTGCAAAGAGGATGATGCTAGACTCCTTCCAGTGGTGCCTAGTGACAGGATGAGAAGCAATGGCCATGAAATAAAGCACAAGACGTTTCACCTAAACATGCGGAGGAACTTTACGTTGAGGGTGTCAGAGCAGCAGACAGGTTGCCCAGGGGAGTTGTGGAGTCTCCCTCACTGGAGACATTCAAAACCCGTCTGGACATGTTCCTGTATAACCTGCTCTTGGTGGCCCTGCCTTGGCAGAAGGGTTGGACTGGATGGTCTCCAGAGGTCCCTTCCAACCCTAATGATTCTGCGATTCTGTGAAAGCAAGCTGCAAAGCAGATGCTACACTACTTGTATTTCTTACAGGATCTATTTCAGTACTGCAAAAGTATAGTTGTGAACTGCCCTATAGATAGTAGGAAGGGCTTTTATTCCTGCTATTGGCTTGTTAGGAACTACTGACAACTATGAGCTGGTTTTATTCATACATGCGTATTTCTTAGTTGCACTGACAGTACCAACGTGTAATTGTCCTGAAACCAGGCTTCTGCCAGTTAATAACTTCACTTAGACACCAGCATGAGAGACTTGGAGCAGAAAGGTCCCTTTAGCTTTGTAGAGTCACTTAAAAGTGACTCAATGTTACCACTAATTGAGCAAGTGTTACGTTTTGTAAATCTTCCATGCGCTCAGTATTAGTGGTTCTAGTACTTCCCTGAACGGAAGTTCCCTGGTTCTAACACTTCCCTGAGTGCTGGTTGCTTCCATCTACTCTGCGAGAGCTGCAGCCAAATGTTTGCTTGTTTTGGTTAGCTAGCAGCAACATATGCAGTGGGAAGCACACGTGTCTGAGACAGCAGCTTACTACTGCCACCGAATTTTTTGTACGCTGTTTGCTTACACCTCAGCAACAAGAATCAAGAATCAGAATCAAGAATCAACTAGGTTGGAGAAGACCTTAAAGATCATCAAGTCCAACCATTACCCCAGGACTGTCCAGACCACCACTATACCATACCACCGAGAGTTTCATCTACATGGTTTCTGAACACTTCCAGAGACGGCGATTCCACCACTTCCCTGGGAAGCTTGGTCCAATGCCTGAGCATCCTCTCTGTGAAGAAATTTCTCCTAATATCCAATCCAAGCCTCCCCTGGCGCTGTCTGAGGCCGTTAGCTCTTGTCATATTGCTTGTAACTTGGGAGAAGAGAC